GTTTGCCTTTTGTTTTATTATAGTGAGAGAATCTCAAATGCAGCACATGGAAAACTATATCTTTCTAAAATACCTAGAAGATTCAACGATTATACCATATTATCAACTATTCCAAGGTGCTAGTTGGTCAACTGAGTCAGTGATATGTGATATTACCAATCAATAAGGATATACCATATAGGATAAGTGGGCTCAACTATTCCAAGGTGCTAGTTAGTCAACTGAATCGTTATTGAAAATTAGTAGGATCCACTTATCCTATATGTTGTACACTTATCGGTTGGTGATAGCATGTGTCACCGACGACATGGTATCACTATTATCATAAATATTTGTTTTATGTTTAGTCGATAGTGACCAATTATGTTGGACTAAAATAAATTTTTATGAAACAACCTCTTTTAGTTACTTGAAGTGTTACTCAATTCCCATCTTACGAACACTATAAACAACATTATATGTCAATTTTACACAGCTTTTGCACTAATTTCTTCATTGTAATATGCTATGATGTTTTAGAGTCCCTTATAAAAAATATCTTTGATGTATTGTAAAATCATTCACTCATAATTGTTTTATATTATTGTTGGGACTAGATTTTCTGGTAGATAGGTTGCGTACTGCCACAAACAAATAGATTCGTGTGTTTGAATGAAATTTTGGTGTTGATTGGCCAGAAAAAGTTAGATTGAGAGAAAATCAGTTTTTTAAGCTTGAGTAAATTTAGCAACTAAGTCATTAGTTTATTTGTGATTTGAGATGAATTCAAAATTGATAGTATCCGGTGATTTCTATTTTACAATTAAGATGTTTGTTCCTCCTATTTGTTCGAGGAACTCATAAAAGGCCAACAAAGTAGTGTATAAAAGTTCTGACAAACACATTTATTTTCAAGGTACTTGAAGGTTTGATGCCAAAAAATGAGATCATTTTTATAATAAAAATATATCATATTCGATAAATGATACACGTGTAACGCACACGTAGATCAATTAATAATGCACAAAATTCAATAAAATTTTCTTCAATCCAAAGCTTTCATTGCATACAATCTTGCATCTACCAAAAAATATTAAATAATTTTAGTAACACTTCTTGAAATTCTATACATGACCGGTTATTTTTGAGTTTAATCTAAAATTGTAATCATATTAAGTAAATTTTAAAAAGCAAGCTATCTTATTTTACCATGTTCTTAACATATTAATCTGTTGTTGCATCCTATTTTTGATGTTCTTTGATGATTCTACATATATATGTCCCAAGAACTTGACAAGGTTTTTTTTTTAAAAATTTCTTTAGACGAAATCCCTAAAGAAATTAAAAGAAGTGATACGTTTCAAAAAAAAAAAAAAAAGCAATAAAAAATATCATCTTTGTGATTTTTGATTTCTTTTTATAATTATAAAGGTGATATTTTGTTAAACGAATAAGACCTTTGGGAGTTGGTGTTTGGACTTAGGCTTGTTGATTTTCTTAGGCTCTCACGATAGCAGTACGATGTTAGATAAAACATGTTCATAATATGAATGTATCATCTTGTGTGTGTTTAAATAAAAAAAGAATAGAGAGTTGATGGAAAATTTCAGACCCACCTACATGGGCCAACCCGATTCTTTTCCCAAGCTCAATAAAGGAGCTGATGTCCAAACCTAACTCATGAACCCAACAGGCATGATAAAGCTCCCTTATTTTTCTTACAACCATTGCTCTCAACTACTCTTAAGTAAGTTGAAAATTGTGTTATCTTTTGTTGTGTTTTGCACGTTTTGATGGTTATAAAACAACCCTTTGGCGTATGATAATTGGGTTTAAATTGTAGCATTTATAATTTTTATTATAAATCTCTACAATACAGTAAAAAATTTTCGTTCATTTCACTCTACAAGTCAAATGATTTATCTTTCTTTCTTCTCGTCATGGACAATAAGAAGCTTGATATATTGACTGTCATTTCAAATCAGCCCAATTTGATGTGATTCACTAAGTTTGTTACTAAATTATTCATAGTGGGTGAACCATCTCCTTCTCATATCAACCTCAAAATACCATATAAGAAAACCCTAACATGTATTACCACTCAACCTTAATTATCTATTCACGACTTGCTTTGTTACTGTAGAATTAGCTAAAAGTGCAGTGTTTCTCATTATTATTTTTTTATTCACATTTATTTATTACGTGTTAAGTTTATAATAAAAAAAAGTTAGAAATCTGGATGTTGTCCGTCTGACAGACCATATCAAAATATATTAAATACTTCAGGGATTAAAATGTTTAAATTTAAATATTGAGAACCAAAATAAAATAAACCTCATACTTTGAAGATCTATAATGCAATTAATCCATTAATTTATTATTCATATTAAAGTGGCCTTTTTTTGGCATTTAATAATGAGCAATACTACATATTCTTAAAAATTGAACTTTATGATGTAACTGTTATATTTGTCATTGATTTAACTGTGGGTCCCATAATTTACGGATACCCAATACCTATTCAATAATAATGATTCATTAAGTCAAAATTTTAAAATCTATGTAGCATTTTACTTTAATAATAATTCCACAATGTGATGATGGTCCAATAATAATATTGATAAAGATAAGCATTTGATTTTTCAATGGTATTATATTATTTGACATATAATTTAAATTATAATTTTATGTTAAATTTCTAAATTTGAAAAATATGATTGATCTTAACAAATTGACTCTTCACTCCAATCCTCCCAATTTTTATAAATTTGAATTTTTTAATTTAAATTCTAAACTCCCACCAATCAACTCTTATCATGTATCATTTGTAACCATTTTTCAACTTCTCCATAACTAACTACTAACGTAACGACTCAATCCAACTGCATGTGATATTGTTCGCTTTGATTTGCCCTCATGGTTTTAACACGCGTCACAATAGTTAAGGCAGAGATTTTACTTATATAACACAACAATTTTCTTTAACTAGGCAACGTGGGACGGTTCATGAATCAAGCACCTCACCAACCTGCTCACCTTACCCTTTCCCAAGACCTCTTGGATTGTCATACAACTAGACTTTTGGTTGCTACAATCCACCCCCTAGACCTCGTGTGGGACCAACCCAAGCAATTGTCCTTGTGGGACTTGCCCCCACAGCGAGGTAAGTCTAGCTTTGATATCACATGTAATGATCCGGCCCAACAACTTGTGATATTATCCGCTTTAGGTTGATCCTCACAATTTTAAAATGCATTAGCTACCACATTTGTTTTCCCTCACTGATAATGAATAGCACAGCCATACTCTTTGATAAATTTGATACCTCTCTGTTGCCTTAAAGTCAGCTTTTTTGTGTAAATAAATACTTTAAACTTTGCTGATTAGTAAAAATTTTATAAGTTGCACTATAAAAAAAAATATCTCCAAAACATTAAATCAAACAAAATAGCTTCAAGTTCTAAATTATGCATAGGATAGTCATGTTCATGGATTTTTAATTATCTAAAAGAATACGCAACTAACTTACCATATTGCATCAACACACAACTCCAACCCTGGTGAGAGAAGAATAACTGTAAATGACAAAATCATAACTGTCAACTGAAATAGTTAAAATTGGTGTTGGTGAGAAGAATAACTGTAAATGACAAAATCATAACTGCCAACTGGAATAGTTAAAATTGGTGTTGGTGAGAAGAATAACTGTAAATGACAAAATCATAACTGCCAACTGGAATAGTTAAAATTGGTGTTGGTGAGAAGAATAACTGTAAATGACAAAATCATAACTGCCAACTGGAATAGTTAAAATTGGTGTTGGTGAGAAGAATAACTGTAAATGACAAAATCATAACTGCCAACTGGAATAGTTAAAATTGGTGTTGGTGAGAAGAATAACTGTAAATGACAAAATCATAACTGCCAACTGGAATAGTTAAAATTGGTGTTGGTGAGAAGAATAACTGTAAATGACAAAATCATAACTGCCAACTGGAATAGTTAAAATTGGTGTTGGTGAGAAGAATAACTGTAAATGACAAAATCATAACTGCCAACTGGAATAGTTAAAATTGGTGTTGGTGAGAAGAATAACTGTAAATGACAAAATCATAACTGCCAACTGGAATAGTTAAAATTGGTGTTGAAATCAATCTGTTCTTCAATTCTTAAAAACTATACTCATATCAATTTGTCTATTCAAACTTTAGTTTTTTACAAGTTAATCGAGTCATAGGCATAACAATCTCAAAAAAAAAATTGTGCACACCTACGATAATAACTTGCTAAGCCCAAAAAACTTCAAATTTCTATCACTGCCTTTGGTCTCTCCCAATTTACAATGGTTTCAATTTCTACTAGATTCACCAGAACACCATCACCCAATATAACATGACCTAAAAATACAACACTACCCATCCAAAATTCAGACTTGTTAAGTATAGCATACAATTGTCTTTCCAACAAGGTCTCTAACACCAGTTAAATGATGTTCGTGTTTCTCCACACTAGCCAACATGAAGAATAAACCATGATAAGTGTGGTAAGGTGAGGTGCTACAAGTGCCATGTGCGTCATCCCACATTGGTTGGAGAGAAAAAGTTCCTCGGCTATTTATGTAGTTTTTCTTCCTTTATTTGTCAGGAGATCTTTTCTAAGTAAAAGCCTAGAAAAACAAAACTATAAGGAGCAACCTAAAGTGGCAATATCTTGACAATGGGTCGGGATGTTATAATTATTTTTTCAAATATATTTAGAAATATTACTTTTATTAGCCAAAATATTTTTTATAATTTTTTATCAATGTTTTCAATTGATATAATGAAAAGAAAATTAAAAAAAGAAAAAAGAAACCGAAATTATAATACTGTGCATCGACGGGGGCCCCACTAGTACACTATATTACAATGACAAGCTATTATACACTATAGTAGTCATTAAATTAGATCAGTTTCTTTTGTTCTAATATGAATTACTGATTATATAATATGAATTGATCAGAGAGAGAGAGAGAGAGAGATATGGGGAGGGGAAGGAAGTTTTACAGGGAAGTGCTGCCATTTGCAGCGGTGATTATATCACAGTGCTCCCACGTAGGCTTGGGCACAGCATTCAAAGCAGCAGCATTGCAAGGAATGAGCTATCGCGTCTTCATCGTCTACTCTAATGCTCTAGCTGGTCTGGTTCTCCTTCCATTCGCCCTCATCTTCGACAGGTCCGTTTCTTTATCCCCTTCCTCTATACTGTATATATATCTCCTCCTAGTACATGTATTAATTACTCCTTCATAATTTTGTTTTATTAGAACAACAACTAACATGTTATATCTATCTATGTATTTTCAATGCTATATATAATTTGCAGAAAGAAAAGACTTCCTCCGTTGAACATCTCTTTCATCGGTAGAATTTGCTTCCTTGGGCTTCTTGGGTATACAAAATATCAAGCATTCTAATATTGTTAATACATATAAGTATGGTTTGGATTCAGAATATGGGTCATCTTCTTGTGTGTGTTTATTTCTGTGTTTTGCAGGTTTTTAGGTCAGACGTTGGGGTATATGGGTTTAGATTACAGCTCTCCGATTCTTGCCTCAATCATCAGCAGTCTCACACCAGCGTTTACCTTTGCATTTGCAATTATTTTCAGGTTCCTTCTTATTTGTTTGTTAATATTTTTTCCTCCACTTTCTTGTTTTGTTTGTTAATTTGGTTGAATAATCAAACAAGTGTGGTGTTACTGGGACATAATTTAGAAATATAATTACTGTAGTCTTTAGATCACAAGTAGGTCCTAATATTAAATGCACTTTACTCTCAAACCAAAGGTTATAAAATATTATGTTTTTAAATTATATCCTTAAATTATGTCTCAATAACATTAGTAATCAAATAATTAGTGTTGGCAACTTGGCATGTAAAAAACAAAGAGCAATGTTACATGCACCTTATTTAGAGACCTAATCTGGAGACTTAATGATGTGATTTTAATGCAACAATTAGATTAATTGTGAGTTTCAATATTAGATAAAGTCCACAACCAATCCAAGGATTGTACATTATTAGTTTCTTAAACTAGGCATTCAAATTAGGTCCAAATAACATTTTTCAAACAAAAAATATACCGTCCATAAGCAATGTAGTTTTATTATTAGGAGTTTAATGATGTGAGAAATGATATTTATGAGGTGGTAAAGCCTCACTCAAGTAAAAAATAAACGATAATGCTAGATTGATCAAAATTTGGGATCAAATTTAGAGTTCAAATGACAGGGCAGTTGACTTGAATTTCTTTAATTGGTGTCATGTCATTTGGGTCCTAATAAAAACTTCAAATAATCAACTGTTATGTCATTTAGATTCTAAATTTGATCCCAAATTTTAGTCAGTTAAGCATTACTCAAAAAGAAAATGTCAGTTTACACTCCATGCATGTTGGGGGTGGATCAGTTTTATTATGGTTTACTTGGATTACTAATCCGATCGAAATGTGCTCCAGTTAGGCCCCTTTAATGACCCGGTTTTGGATTTAGTCCAAATTCGAATTGGTTTAACCGGATAAAAACTAGAATTTTAATCCGATTATCGTATGCCACCCAAATCCAATTAAAATTGTTAAATTGATTATAAATAGCATAGAGCAATTGATGTAATATAGTTTTTTATCCGTGGATTTTCAAAAAGATAAGAAATGCTATTGGATTTGGATCCTCGTTGGTGAATAACATTGCCTATACGTATACATTCTGCATTCAAAGAAGTTGATAATCGTTCCCAGCCCTATCCCTTTTCTCTCAAAAAAATATTCAGTACATTAGTAAACAACAAATGAGTTGATAGATCCTACAAATTTTAATAACTATCTATTCAATGCAATACAATAATTATGCCATGTAAAAATTAGAGTTTACTCTTTATATTCGATGATTTTTAGTAAATATTAAGTAAATGTTATGCAATAACTATCCATGTAAGATTCACTTGTCTACTTGTTTTTTTATCGTTGAATTGTTACACAATGTCAACATATGGCATGGTGAAACCCAATATTTACTCCTCATCCTCACTCTTTGGAAACAATATTAGATATAACCGTTATACAAAGTCATGAGTGCCTCCTAGTGTAATGGTCCATTAAAGGTAAACAAGTCGGTAAATAGATCTCACTAAAACTCAACCACTCAGTCATGTAATATATAACCATCTCCATGATAGAAATTAAGCCTTATTTTATCTTTTTTGTTCTTTTGTTATTGGATGGTTACACCATGTCAACAATATTGGCATGATGTAACGGTTACACCTAATATTTACTCTAGTCTTTGCAACTCTCTCTCCAATCCTAATTTTACACAAATTTAAAATTAACTTAAAAATTTGATTTGATAATATAGTTGTTATATTTGTCATTGATTTAACCGTGAATTCTAATATTTATTGAGATTCATTACAGAGCACATTACTTATCAACGATAATGATTCATCAAGTCAAATGTTGGATGGGGTGTTAGAACATTAAATGCACTTTACTCTCAATTCAAAGGTCATAAAGTATTATGTTTTTAAATTATATTCTTAAATTATGTCTCAATAACATTAGTGATCAAATAATTAGTATTGACAACTTGGCATGTAAAAAATAAAGAGCAATGCTATAGGGACCTTATTTTTAGACATAATCTGGGAACTTAGTAATGTGGCTTCAATGCAACCATTCGTATGTTTCCACGGACGGCGTCAAATTACACAGAAGATTTCCTGCAATAGATTGAGATAGCAATCTTCACGATAGCGAACTTTAAACAACCACAGGGTCAGAAAATAGGTCAAGTGAATATTCGGCTTTTCCCCTTCGAAGCTTAAATCAATATATATATGGAGGCTAAAGCACATTGTTTTTTTTCTCTTAATTTAGTCTTGCATACCTTAGTTCACTTTTCTGAGGAGTATTTATACTTAAATTAGTAATGAGTGCAAGGATAAGCAGTCTCATCTTGACATTTATTGATCTGCACCCTTTTCCATGCATAATAAATGCTCTTTGCTAAGATCCTCATGCCTTTAATGATCGAGTGACAAGACAAGTGCTTGGGGCTACGCCGAGCACTTATGGCTATCCCTGGGCAATCAAGTTCCTCTGATCGGCCCTTGACACCTATTCCCGAGCCTTCAATGTTCGGGGGAACAGTAACTCGGTGTATGCCAAGGGAACAAACTCGGCGCCATAACCATTAATGTTTCGCCATCATAACTGCTGCTTTTGGGTCTCGAGGATGCAGGGGCTCATTAATAGCCCTGTTTTAGTCACTCACATCTCATTAATGAGCTATCATGTCTTCTTAAATGCTGATGTTAGCATATATACTCAGCTCATTTGAGCCATTACTCCTCGGCACTAGTCCTCGACACCTTTCAATTTTTGTAATGGTTACATCCTTCTGCATGTCGCTTCGGGGGCCGTTGAGCCGCATAAGGTCCCGTCAGATACTAATACCATGTAACAATTACCTTCAATATTTACTTCTTTCCTCTTGTTGCGATCGTGCCATCAGCACCTTGGACTAAAGAGATAAATTTTTGACATGTATGATTCATTTTTTAAGTTATAAAGATTATGAAAATTAGATTGCATAACCGAATGAGTGATCAATGGCTAATAGTTTAATGGGTTATATAGAGAAAGACTGTAGTATCTTTTATATAGTTAGCCCTATTTGTTCTGAAGGGTTGTAATCACTTTTTTATTATTTTTTTATTTCTATATGCTATATTTATTGAGACTTGATCTTTTTTTATATTTTATGAATCTTTAAATATCAAATACAATGCAGTAAACATTAAAACATTATTATTTTATTTTTATTGATTGTTTTTATCTTTAATTTGTGCCGTATCAGAATGGAAAAAGTCGTATTAAGAAGCTTTAGCAGTCAGGTGAAAATTGCGGGTAGCATCGTATCCATCTCAGGGGCAATTGTGGTGGTTCTGTACAAGGGCCCAACTATAATAAAGACCTCATCACCATCCAAATTGTTTTATCAACCGGGATCATCTCAATCAGATTGGATTATTGGTGGTATTCTTTTTGCTGTTGCGGATCTGGTAATATCTATTTGGTATATTGCACAGGTATAAACGAAAGTAATTTGTTAAATTTTCTTTTTTTTTTTTTATAAATAAGACAAATTTGAACAACTGTCTTAAAACATATTCAAACTTGATACGTTCAACTCGATTAACAACTCGCACTTGAAGACTCAAAAAATTGAATCTACGTATGTTACAGGCTCAAACAGTGAAAAAGTATCCGGCGGAGCAACTTATAACGTCTATGTACAACTTAGTCGTGGCCACCATAGCTCTACCAGTGGCTTATATTTTGGAACCAAACGGTAGTACATGGGAAATAAGTACAAGAATGATGATGATAGCCATTTTAATTGCAGTAAGAGCCTGAAGGTCGCTATTTCAAATTTACTAGCGTTATTAGAAATAGGTTGTTTTTTCTTTTCTTTTTTTTTTTTTTAATCGGAATCTATTTTATAATTTTTTAGGATAAATAATACTATTACATGTTGTAGGGACTATTTACAGCATCCTTTGGTACAGCCATGCTCACATGGAGCCTACGCATGAAGGGGCCCGTCTATGTAGCACTCTTCACGCCACTGTCAATTGTCACTACTGTAATTATGAGTGTGATTTTTCTAGGTGATTCTCTCTATCTCGGGAGGTATGAACAGATTCTTAGATCTTATCTTTTAAGACATATAAGAAATACTATTGTATCGAAAAATTATTTTTCAGTATCATACTGACAATTTATTACAAAATAAGAATGAGATTACAACAAAATGATATCGATCCTAACCATTTAGCCTTACAGCTTCACTAGCTCTATGTTTTGATTACCTTACCTGATTTGCCTACTTGTTTGTTGTGGATTCACTTGGTTTTGTGTAATTTTGTTTGTTGCAGTGTTGTTGGTGCGATAATAGTATCCTTTGGATTTTATGTGAGCTTGTGGGGAAAAGCGAAAGAAGAAACGGCGGACTTGGGAGATAGTAGTAGCTTGGAATCACAATCCCCAGAAAATGTTCCTATATTGCAGTGACAGGTAAGTGAAGAAAACAAACATTGTAATGGTGAATCATAGTACAATAAAGACATTGTTTCTAGTTATATTCTGCAATTGTAAGACATTTTATCCATTTTGGAAGGATTACATGTTTATTGTATTGATGACATGTATAAAACTGCACAAAACTATTCCAGAAATTTGCAAAAAAATTTCCAAAGCTTTGATCCTGTTAATATCATAAAATTCAAGAATAAGTTCTCGAAATTCTATATGTGACCGATTATTTTTGAATTTAAGTCAAATTTTCAACCCATGTAATTCTTCGATTTTTCTTTTGCTTTTACTGTAAATTTGGTGTCCGCGACACGTCGAATGCAATTCAATACCCATCTGTTACTAAGGCCAAGCTATGCAATGTACATGGCATGGCATGGCATGGCGCATGTATGATCAATTTTATTTGACCCAAATTAAAATCCGAAATATAAATATCTCTTATCTTTTAGTTTCACGACTTTGTACCTAAATGGTTTAAGAATGAAGACACTATTTTAAAATGATATATTCCGGACACAAACTCCCACGGTTGTATTGTAGCCTTCATCTTAGAAGATAATACTTCCTCACTTTCTCATTCTCGACAGATTTAAAACAATACAAAATGCAGGAAATAGGAGATTTTTGAGAATGGGCTTCTATACGTTTACCTATAAAATGTGAGTGTTATACCGAAATTGATCATCATGACCAATAATAATACCATAAAAGAAATTACACGGTGTCAAAATTTTATTAAATGAAAAGTCAAAGTAAATCGTCAAGAAATTAATTTTGGGTACCCTTGCAGGACCTTTGGGCTTCTCTTGTTTGCAGATGATCCAATCCAATAGTGTTCTTGTCCGCACATATGGCCCATTTTTCACTATGTTTGAGGGGTTATAATCCCCTACTTCTCAAAAATTAAAATTTTGACAATTTATTTTATATAATTTATTATTTGACCTCCATGATGTTTTGATAAATTTTTGGTAGCATTTCTCAACTTACATTTGGATGTTCCTATAGAAGGTGTGAATGAATGAAACTTTTTTAATTAAACTATAGAAGGTGTGAATGAAATTTTTCTAATTTTTATCCAAAAATGATACAACAGTATTTACTATTTACTATAAGATATGTGAGCCGTCGTCAATGTGCAGTCATTGGCAAAGTAGATTCCTCATGGACCATCAATGTCTAATGCACTCAGTCTTCCTTTCTATTTTTGGGTTCATTGGTAAGGTATGTCCGGTCAATTTATGCATCTCCATTAATTCCTTCGTTTTGATTAAAATCAGAGGCGGCTCAAAAGTTTTATCAAAAAAATTTGAGTTTTACGCCCCAATTTTTCAAGAAAGCCTCAAATTTTTAAATAAGATAAATAGTCCATGTACAAAAATTAAATCTATAAATATTTTAAGCTCAACAAAAAGGCCTTATAAAAATATAAGTACAATCAAAAAAAAAAAAAAAAATTAAGGCCCCAGATCAAAGAAGGCCCATAATTTATAAATGTACAATAATAGTCGAAACAAAAATTTTAAATTCATGCCTAAACAAAATATTTCAACTTAAATAGATTGGGTCTATTACTTCAGCTGTAAAATTAAAAGACCCTAAAATTTATTTTTTTAAATAAAAAAAAAATTTACGGTAAAACTAAAGTTACTAAAAAATCTAGTTTTAACTCCCAAAAAAGTCAAGTTTAAATTTACCATCACAATTTTTCAATTATTCTTTCTCTCTCTTGCTATTAAGTTTAAATATGATAACAAAAACTTGAATTTAAAATTTTAATTAATATTTTTGTATTTAAAAAAATTAAAAATAAAAAGGCATCATTTATCGTTTTCGGCCCCAAGATATCTCGAGCTACCCCTGATTAAAATCAAGTCATCTATGTAAAGAGTGACTTGTGAAGAGTGATCGAGTGATGTTGTAGAGGACAAACGATTCCAAAAGAGTTGAAAATGGGTAAAAAAAATATTTTTAACTATAAAAATTATAAAAACTCGATTATGTAATCAAATGAGTAATAATATGATGATTAATATATATATTCTTAGTAGTATTTATAACAAAGTTATCATATAACGTTTTAAAGTAATAAAAAATTATTGAGATTAATTAAAAATGACTATAATTAATCTAATTTTTTGATAAAATATTAAAATTATTTTTTTTTGTTTATACACGTTTTTGACCTTATTATGTTGAATGATTTTATTTTATGTAAAAAAATAATTTCATTACATATAAATATACCATTTTACTTATCAAAAAATAAAAAACAAAACTTTATAAAGTGTCAACCCAAGGAATATTAGTCAATTAGCATAACAAATGATAATTTTGATATTTTCAAAAAATTTGTGATCAAATGATGCACTTTATCTATTCTTAGAGATGAAAGTTACAGTTAAGGGTGTCAACGATTCGATTAAACTATGGAAGGCGGGAATGAAATTTTTTCAAATTTTACCCAAAATGATATGACAGTTTTTACTATAAGATATTTGAGTTGGTTATCAATTTGATGTCACTGGAAAAGTAGGTTTCTCATGGACCCATCAATGTGCGTTCGAGGAAGCAACACGTGGACTAATATAATGCACTCCGTTTTCCTTTCCCTAATAAATAAAACTACGTACTCAACTTGCTTCTCATTTGCTTACCTTTCTACTTTTTAGTTTAATGGTAAGGAATTTTTGGATTAATCTATTCGGCTCTCAATTAATTCTCTCTACATTTTGATAAAAATTAGGTTATTTACGTCACTACTAAATTCCTTATGGTCCGTTTGATAAGAGAGATAGAATGTTAGAAGGATGAAAAAATAAGAGAGAGAAATTTTTCATCCTTGAAGGAAGGAAAGAGGTTTTTTATATTTTGTGTTTGGCAAAAAAGATGAAAAAGTGGAAGGAATAAATTTTTTATTATTTTATTTGATATGAAAAAAAATAATAGAATATTATTGCTTGTGAAATATCAAAAATACCCTTAATAGAATATAAATAATTTATTGAGAGAGATGTGTTCTTTGGAATAAATGATAATTAAGCATTACATAAAAATTGTGAGACCCATCATGCCCAATTTGTTTGCCACTTTCCGCCCAAAAATGGAGGGATTAAAAATGGTGGGCGGGAAGGATTTCCTTTCCCTCCATCTTTCTTTTTCCTCCCATCTTTTCCTTCTAATCAAACAAAGAAAAATTACATTTTTCATCCTATTTTCCATTCACTATTTTCCATTCATCATATTTTCCCTCATACCAAATAGGCCATTAAAGTCACATATTTATTCCTTGTAGAAAAACTTGATTCCAAAAAATTGTCAAGATTTAAACTCAAAACGTTTGAATTTATAACTCATTCTTGTTACCACTTAAACAACATTTGGAGTTAATTGTTTCTCTTTTTGTGATGTATCTTTTATGGACTTCATTATGATATCGAGAAATAAAATTTTGGTATCAAACCAAAATTTATTGCATTTGTGGATATTTTTGTCGCTATTGTTGATGTTTTGACCAATGTTGTGGTAGCAAAAAAAAGTTATAAAAATAATGATCACAACTGTGGTAAAAACACATACAACAATAATAAAAAAACTCATAAAAGTGGTAAATCATCCACAAAAGTGATAATTTTTTTGTACTTAAGAAAAGTGGTAAATATAATTACTACAATAGTGATAAAAATATCTATAACAGTAATAAAAATACTCATAAAAATGATAAATCATTTATAAAAATATTAAATTTTTTAGTTATAAAATAACTCATAAAAATAATAAAAATACTCTTTAAAATAATAAATTTTAAATTAGAAGGCCCCACTGTGTCATGTCCACACTTGGACAGTCATTGTGGCCTGAGGGGTATGAATTGAATCAGGTGATGGATGGATCATTTCAGATTTGTATTATTGATCCCAATCCCCCCAATTAAGAATGCATTTAGCGTAGTCAAGTCTCTCCCTTATGATTTGGACATTAGGCATTGAAAAGGGCAATGTCATAAAAAATTTAGGGTGCGTTTGAATTGCATTTCCAAAAATAGAGTAGGAAAACATGATTTTTAGAAGAGTTTTACAAAAATATGTTTGAGTATTTTTGTATCTAAAAATTTGTTTGATTATATGATTTTAAAAATAATTCTATAGAGTAGAAAATAGTAAAAATTATTTGGATCAAGTGTTTTATAAATTTTTTTTAATATATTAAACTTAATAAAATGTAAAAAAAATGCAAAAAGAAAATTTCAGCCCTAAATCCAAAAAAGAAAAACAGATTTAATATGCAAATCTAGTCATAGATCTAGTTTCGCTGCAGAGCTCTTGGTTGTCGAAGAAGACAACCTCCGATCGCTAGAAAAGACCCTTACACCATAAAAGACGATGTGTGTGTTCATTTCGTCTAAAAGCTGAAGTGAAGAGAGAAAAAGTGGGGGAGATAAAAAGGCCAAAAAACAAAAAAAAAATTTATATTAGAACCTATTTTGCTGCTAAGAGAATTCAAAGGAGCGATTCTCATTAAAGGACAATTGTTCTTCGTGTTTTTCATTTTTCTCTTCTTTTGTCTCCAAAACATCTTTTGCCTATTCCCCAAAAAGTATTTTTGTTCTCTATTTTTTTCCAAAAATTTCTGTCTAAATAAATTTTCACTAATTTTTTGTATCACAAAACAAAAAACCTGTTTTATAAATACAATCTAAACAAGCCCTTACTTGTCTTGTGAGTTCAACGTTAAATGTAAAGATTTCACTTGAATGTCAATTGACTTAAATGCCCTCATTATAGTGTAGAACACAAGACTAGCAAGCTCTTCATACATGTTTGGACCGGCTACGAAGAGCATTACGCACCTCTGAGTCATTCCTTCCGACGAACTCCATCGGATGCGTGTTTGGAACCGTTGATCTTTCAGTTGGTTTGAACAGACTTGTGTGGTTATAATATCAGAGTTGCCTTGTGGTGAGGAAAGTCTATTGA